AACAAAACATACATATATATATATATTTATAAATGTATATACCAGGACAATTAAGGTTTCTGATTTCACGAGAAAGCAACAATCAATCAATCAATATATATATATATATACACATGTATATAAATAGAGTATATATAAAAAATGTAGAGAGAATCTAAATATATATATATATATATATGTATATGTATATATGTATATATACATATACATATATATATATATATAGATATATAGATAGCTGCACAACAACTTCACATCGGCGCCCACCTCAGCGTCGGGAGTGAACTTTTCACCACTACCAGCAGCGTCACCAGCACTGACGGGCAGGCGTTCGGGAGTCTTAGGGGCCAGTGGGCATTCCACAGCATTCGGGGCCGGGCGTTCGGGATTGGGGGCCGGCGGGCGTTCCACACCATTCGGAAAGGGACCCTTTGGGGCAGCTGGGCCAACCGTCGGGGCTGGGAGGCGTTCGGGACTCTTCGGGGCTGGTGCTTCTGGACTATGCGGGGCCGCTCTGGGGCGTTCAGGAGTCTTCGGGGCCGGTGAGCCTTCTGGAGAAGTCGGCGGTCTGCGGCGTGGGGGCGTCTTCGGGGCCGGCTCAAGGCGTTCGGGTTTCTTCTTGGCCTGGGCCTGTTCTGGGGCCGGGGCCATTTGAAGAGTTCTGGTGCCGCCTTGATACAGGCGACGAGCTGTCTCGGGGGCCATGTTCTCGGGTGGACCGGGATCCTCAGTGGGGGTTGGCACACCCATGATGTCCACTGGCTGTGTCTCGAGAGAGTCGTTGCTGTTAAAGGAAGATGGCCCTGAGGATGTTCCAACTGGGGGTGCCAGTGCCGAAGCCGACCGCTGCCTTATATACAACAACAACAACAACAGCTGCATAAACATCCAAACGTGGACATTGCATATGTGCATGTACAAGTCACGATCCTACAACATGCTCAGGACACAACTCACGAAGAACATTGAGTCTCTCCTTCACTTCTTGCAAGCGTTCCTGAAGTTGCTGAGGTGTCATCTGACCTCAGGACACATCCAGAAGGAGCAATTGAATGTAACACATTTGTTTTCTTTCTTCTCTTAGAAAATATGTGTATATATAAACACACATGATATGCATATATATATATATATATCATCATATATCTATGTATCTATATATCTATATATGTTTTTTGTCTATGTATATCTATATATTTATATATCTATATATTTCTATACACACACATATATATATATATACATATTCTACACACGTACATATATATATATATATATATAGGTATATATATATATATATACAGACACATATATTCTACCATAAAGCCGATCAGACAAAGAACTTATATAGAAATACTCGTTCTGCTGAGGGGCTATCCCTGGCACCAAAGATGTGCTGTTTACCACCAGAAGATGGCGGGGTGGTGAGCACGGCAGGGCTTGCAAATGCATGGGGTGCAAGAGTGTTGGGGGTCACAGGAAAAGATGTTGCAGTCCCCCCAGCCGGTCCCCCCATGTGGGTGGCAGAACTGCAAGGGCTTCGCCTGGCTCATCTACGGGCTCGGCCTTCACAACATCGTCTTCGATCTCGATCACAAGCGGTGCCGGGGTTGGGGCAAGCACAAGAGGCATGGCTGCCAAGGCTGTTGGGGCAAGTGCGGGTGCGCGTGCAGCTGACTCTGCTGGTGGGTCTGAGGTTGACCGGGCGTCGTCGTCGTCGTCGCCATCATCAACTGCATCATCGTCCACATCATCTGCCTGCGAAATGAATGGCATTTGCAGCGACCCAGTGTTTTGCTGACTCGTATATAGACAAGTAAATGTATACCCTGTGTGGGCTGTAGCACATCTCAATGCAAGCGAAACACCTCCTCGAGGGAACTGGCAGACGCGTGAATCCTCCTGGAATTCATGTAGTCCACCAGCTCCTGGATCAATGGGATGCCCGACTATATACTGCTTATGTGCACCAGATGCAAGCAAGAAAACATGTTTGGAAGTCAAACCTTAATACTGAGCAAGATGCTTGCATTTGTGGATCAAGAATCACGATGAGCTGCTGAAAAGTAGGATCCTCAAAGGCTCGCTTGAGCTTCGACATTACCTTAAGCTGGAAACATTGCACTCCCAAGCAAATAAGACAATTAATGACAATGATGTTAACATGTTTCGAAGGCTCTGTCGAAACCTCCCGCTTTCGAATCTTGAGCTTCAGGAAAGCAATGAATTTACGAACCGTCCAAGCTACTTTGTCGATCTGCTGGAAGGTCACCTCCTGCTTGCCCATCTCCATGACCGTTTTGACCTCCTCACGAAGGTCTTCCACTGCTGGGGAAGGCGAGACCTTGCCTTCCTCGATGGTATCAGAGACAGCAGCCATCATCTCACAGATAGGGCGGAGCACAGGTCCGTTAAGTGAGCCCGTCTTCACTAGAATCTTATCCTTCGTTTCAGGGTGAAGCAACGTACCCCCGTTACGAATGCGCCCCCTGATTTCAGGATCATTCTCCCAAGCATTGGCAAGACCAGACACGTCGACCACCACCTTCGCCATGATGGAAGCTGAGAGGGTTTAGCAAAGCGAGCACTGTACCGATACAGAGCAAAGGGAATCATTGAAAGATGTTCGGAAAGCTACAGATTCTGGTAATAATGATGCACATTTGTTGCAGACTGCATGTAGTTCGCAATGTCGGGGCCCAAAATCTTGCAGAATGCATGTTGTGGGATGCAATGTGCACAAATCAGCGAGTGACACATGCGTTGCTGCATTCCTGGGTCCCGGACCATCTGATCCCGAAGTCTGGACCGAGGCATGGCATGAATGTGAAAAGTCGTTTGTGATGCTGGGAATTGCAGGCTGAGCTAGCTATATTGCCCCGAGCCCTTGCAGCACTGGTCGTCAGCACTAGCTACGGCACTTTGGATAAGATCCTCTATAGGTTTAGGGTTTAGGGTTTAGGGTTTATATAGGGTTTAGGGTTTAGGGTTTATATAGTCTATAGATGAATGTGCCCGTCGACATGCTGCAACTTGGAATGGTAAGCGAGATCCTGAGCGAGGCCAGCCGGTGAGAGGTTGGGGGGTTTGTTCAGGGCATTGAGGACCTGATGTTGCAACTATTTGGTTCAGGTTGGGAAGTCATCCAGGTCATTAGCGATCTTGAATCGAAAGGATTTGCTGTCATCTTTAAATGGGGGTTATCTGGTAAAAGACGGGTTATTTTCCGAATAACCGGGTTGTAGCCCCAGGACACCTCAAAAGACGGGTTACGTCCCAATAGTCTGCTTTTTTTGGGGTTAAGGGTTCCCCAGGTAGGGTTTACGGAAATCCTCTTTGCCCAGCTTCCTAGAGGAGGAAGATGGTCAATGAGGCTACTCCCGCCGCCATCGGAGCCCTGGCCGCGGCTCCAACCGAGAACGCTCGGCTGACCGACGACCAGATGCTCAGGGTGGGTTTAGGGTTTAGGGTTTAGGGGTTTGGGGTTTAGGGTTTAGGGTTTAGGGTTTAGGGTTTAGGGGTTTAGGGGTTTAGGGTTTAGGGTTTAGTGGCTTCGTGTCAGCGGCAGCGTGGGGAAGCGTGGCATTTTTGGGCTCACGGCAAGGCGCTGGCGTGAAAGCGTAGCACATCGATGGGCTGAGCTGAAGCGAGAAAAACCTCAGAGTGTGTGTGTGTGTGTGTGTGTGTGCGTGCGAATCCTCCGTTTTTAGCTCGGACGTAAACACCGTGCGGCGAATCGGGGTGGGAATACTTAGTCGTTTGATGCCCGCCCGCATATTCCCTGTATAGTTGTGAAATACCAACCTGTATATGGCACAGATCCCTTAAAAAGCCTACCAAGGAACTTGCGAAGCACGGCTTGGCAAACAACCATAGATACACAATAATCCTTCGAAAGCCATCGGGGCTGAGGTACTTAAGTTTCGGCTTTAGGGAAGGAATTAAACACCAAAGCGTGGACCCTTGAATCCCGTAGCCGCCCGTAGCCTGCCTAAATATACGTTATTGCAGCCCGTACGAGGAACCCTGGAAAAGGATTTTTGCATCCATACCCTAAACATTCATAAATAAATCTTACCAGCCAGAGCTATAAAGACGGCAAGTTTTGTTGTTTGGTCATAACATGTCACATCCGCAGTTGAGGTATTCATCAGTGTCTTACTCAGCCTCATGAACCTCCAAGTAGCGCTATCGTACTTTAGAGAAGCCCCTTGGAACCTCTTTTGGATCCCTTGAGGGAGCCCTTTAAGTTACCCAATCCCATGAACCTCCCAGTAACACCCCGCAACCTGAAACCTTAAACCCCTCAAGTACCCTTCAATGGAGGCCCTACGGTCCTTAATAGTGGGCATTTAGGGTTTACTAGAGGGTAGTTGGGGGGTGCTGGTAAACCCCTCAACCGACAAGCCCCTAAACCCCCAAACCCTTTTGGGAACCCTGAAAGGAACCCGGAACACGGGGAAAGCCAAGGCTGCCTAGCAGCCGAACTCCACAGCCAGCTTGTTGATCTGCAGCATAGCAATGGCAGCCCTGCCAGTGGGCTGCAGTAAGTTTAGGGCTATGGTTTGAGGGTTTTGGGTTTTGGGTTTTTGCATTCGATTAGGGTGCAGGATTCATGATAGAGGGCGTAGCTTGTCTTGGGGCTTCCCGAATGGGTTAGGGATTTAGGGTTTGTTGGATCGCATGGGGCACCTTGTTTCAGGCGTGGTACCCTGGGGCCAAATATGTAAACTCTGGGGTTTAAGGCCCCAAACCCTAAACCCTAGTGGATATGAGAAGTTGTTGTAGCGAGGGTTTTTGAAAGTTTGTGTTGGGTTGTTTATCAGGGCTTTTTGGGTTCGCGGTACAGGTTGTATAGAACTGGGGTATCAGGTTGCACAGAAAGTCGGCTTCAGTACGATTTCAGGTTTGGGTCTACACGCCCTTGTAAGTTCAGTCGTCTAGGTTGCTTATCTCAGGTGGTGGAGTATATAAGCTTGGATACTTGCCAGCATTTGTCCTTGAGGGGTCCTTGTTGTGCTCATATTATAATATACTCCCAAACCCTTGTTGTTTGCCCCTCGGGTTTTGGTGAGGGCGCATAGGGTTTTGCAGGGGTATTGCTCAGTGTAATTATATAAGGATGTTTCTTTTAGAGGAGGCTGGCCATGCAAGCCCCGCATCAAGTAGTGATGCCTTGACTCTCCAAGACCACATAATACAGGACTGTGAGAAAACAAACTAAAAATACCAATGTCCACTTGTAATCCTTATGCGCTTATAGGCGAGCGTGCCCCCCTCAAAGACCTTGTTTTAGTTATCGAGGCCCCCCGTATAAGCCTAGAGCCCTAAGCTCTAAACGGAGCGCAAAGCAATATGGATACCGAAGGCAGTTAATGCTGATTTAGGCTTACTTGTAATCCCAAACCCAATAAAATGGTAGGTAATGGTTTCCTTACCCTAAGGGTCCATGTACCCAAATAGATATACTTTGGCCATAGTCCCTATATAGGTACTTTGGGGCCAATGTATATACTATTTGGGCACATGGACCCTTAGGGATAGTTAGAGGGTAGAACCCTCCCCGAAACTTAGGGATTCTCTCGAAGGGCATCGCTTCTTGGCCAATCCTTCGCTGGCAGACCTAGTGTGAGATCGTGGGAAAAGAGGACCTCAAGAATCAGCAACGCCAAATCGAAATCTTGAGCGCTAAAAGCCCGGTATTTCGGATGCTGTCGAGCAGACGGAAACAAGGTGCTCAAAACAAAGCCAAACCCTAAACCCTAAACCCTATGAATGCACCAAGAAGCTTGCTTCTGACCTC